CACCATGTTGACCAGGATGGTCTCGATCTCTTGACCTCGTGATCCACCCGCCTCGGCCTCTCACAGTGCTGGGATTACAGGCTTGAGCCACCGCGCCCGGCCGGAAATGGGTATTTTTATTTAGCCCCTAGTAAACATATTTTTTTTGACACAGGGCCTTGACCTGTTGTCCATAGTGGAGTACAGTGACACAATCACAGCTCACTGCAGCCAACCTCTCAGGCTCAAGTGATCCTCCCATCTCAGTCCCCCAAGTAGCCGGGAATACAGCACCACCATGTCTGTTGTTTTTTTTTTTTAAGAGATGGGGTCTTACTATGTTTCCCTGGCTTGTCTTGAACTCATGAGCTCAAGCGATCTGCCTGCTTCAGCCTACCAAAATGCTGGGATTACAGGCCATGAACCACAACGCCTAGTTGAAAAACATCTTTACATCAGAATCTTCATTGAGACCACTGCATGCTCAGAAATACACAGGTATGAGGCGAAATCCAAAAATGACTATGGAATGTATACATGATTTTATTAAAACATATTTCTTAAAAAGTTATTCCAAGCTACAGATGTGAAACTAGTTACTGAATGCCAAGGAGCCTGGTGTGCGTATGTACACATACAAAACTCTAAATAAATTTTAAGGTAAGTTGTTTTTGACACAGATTCATAATGATTTAAAGAACAGTGTGTGTAAGTAACAAATTATTTTTCTTGGTGAAAAAAGAAAAAGTAGTTCAGTATTCTTACAGAGAGATTATGGAAAACTCTTTACCTGGAGGTTTCTGTTAGTAAGAGATTCATCAAGTGTTGTTGCCAACTCTATTGCTCGCTTCTGACTAGAAGGCTCTAAATAATATACCATTTTGGCAGCTAAATGAGAGGGAAACAGGAAATTTATTTCAAGGTAAAACCAACATCTTATCCTCTACTTATTTAGATATAAAATGCAAACAAGATATATGTGCACAGAGGATGTGGCACTTTATTAGAAAAATGGGAACAGCTACTGGAGACACTGTTTTAAAAAAAAAAAAAAAAAAAAAAAAACAACAACAATTCTGAGAAGATTAGTTTAATCATCCAAAGTAAGAGAACAATTAAGGTATACCACATATATCTACCCAATAAAATAGAATGTATATGCAAAACATGCACAGTAAAGGAGACTATGAAGAAACACAAGCATTCTAGTAATACTTGTCTTTTTGTGGTGGGACCGTGATAGTCTTCTTTCTGAAATAAGCAGAATAATTTGGGGGTTTGGGGACTATCCCATCTTGACAGTACGAGCCAAAATGCTGAATTCAGGATTCCACAAAGGCATACAAAGCTGGTGGGCTTAAGCCAGGTATTTGAAAAGTACTACCCACATGGTCCCATAAAGTCCAGATTTTGGTTCAGTGGCTCAGATCAGACCCTTGCCTTAGATTTCTCACAAACTCGGAAGATAATTTCAGGTGTTTAGCATTGTCAAGTCTGATACCTACATAAGAATGAGAAATGGAAAAGGATGGTCATATCTGAGTGAATATTAAGAGCCCAATGATGAAAGAAGAAATAAAAGAAAGCTCTGTCTTCATTTTATGATATACATTTAAGTTCAGTTACACCTGCTTCTTTGTAATGCCAATGCTGAACCAGAAGAGACTACCGACCTTGATGTATAGTGATTATTTTGCCGTAAGAAATTTTAAAATGTGTAGGAAGCATATATATATATGTTTGTTTTTGTTTTGATTTGAAACAAGATCTCATTATGCTGCCCAGACTGGTTTCAAGTGGTCTCCTGGGCTCAAGTGATCCTTCTGCCTCAGCCTCCTGAGTAGTTAGGACTACTGGTATGTGCCACTGTGCCCACTTATTTAAATTGCCTGTTTTCAAAGTGTCACAATATAACATATACACATTGCCTCTTCCATTCTAAAAATGCACCTTATATTATTGTTGATTCATTAAAATAAAGACTGAAGTTGTTTTAGAAGGGTAAGAAACAATAAAATTAAGTGATTACCTGATAATCTGTGTGGCAATGAATCAGAATTCCTTTTCAGAAAAGTTTCATTAAAATTCTTTGGATTCGTTGCTCCAAAAAGACGATTCATTTCTTGTTTTAATACTGTTCTAACTGTATCAGGTAAATCTTTACTTTCACACACTGCTGAATAAATTAAAAATAAAACCTTAGCAGTTAAATACTCTGATAAAGCTTACAGAAGTTTGTTTTTGTTTGTGTTTGACATAGGGTCTTGCTCTATCACCCAGGCTGGAGTACAGTGGCACAATCATGGCTCACTGTAGCCTCAACCTTCCAGGATCAACCAATCCTCCCACTTCAGCTCCCCCAAGTAGCTGGGACTTCAGATGTGCACCACCATGCCTGGCCTGTAGGAGTTAGATTACCTAATGATGAGGCCAATGAAACATGGCAATTATATACAAAGACAAGATAAAACCTACTGATAATTTAATATTTGCAAAAAGAGCTTACCTATATAAATTGATTGAGACAGACATGGTCTTGCTGCTGCCCAGCTGGATGGAGTGCAGTGGCACAATCATGGCTCACTGCAGCCTCAACCTCACCAGGCTTCTGTGATCCTCCCACCTCAGCCTCCTAAGTAGCTGGACCACAGGTGCAAGCTACCAGGCACAGCTAATTTTACTATTTTTTGTAGAGACAGGTTTTCGCCATGGTGCCCAGGCAGGTCTCAAACTCCTGGGCTCAAGCAGTCTGCTCGCCTCGGCCTCCCAAAGTGTTGGGAGTACAGGCATGAGCCATCATGCCCAGCAATATACATTTAAAAGAATATATGTCAGCAGAACAATCTGATGTTCTAAAGGCATTTAAAGACTTTCATTAACACAAGGTTCATTTCTAGAAAGGAACTGTAAGCAAAGTAGATGACAAAACATGTAGTTTCACAGCCTACTAAACCCCAAGAGCTCCTCCCCTCAACCTTATGGTCTGCAAAGCAGCAACTTGAGAACACCTACCTGGTAAATACTAACACAGCAACTATGTAGTGCTGAAGACAACAAATTTTCCTCACCCTCCCTATCTTCTATATCCAAGTAAGGCACATGTTTCAATTAAAAACAGAACAAAACAAAACATGGCTGATATCACTAACCTTTATTTCAGAAACTATATAAATTCAGCTATCACTATATAACAAACTCCCAAGGACCACCAAAGCATTTTCCTGTTAACAGGCTGGGCACCGTAGCTCGTGCCTGTAAACCCAACACTTTGGGAGGCCAGGGCAGGTGGATCACTTGAGGTCAGGTGTTTGAGACGCGCCTGGCCAACATGGGGAAAACCTGTCTCTACTAAAAACAAAAAAATCAGCCTGGCATGATGGTGTGCACCTGTGGTCCCAGCTACTCAGGAGGCTGAGGCAGGAGAATAGCTTGAACCTGGAAGGTGGGGGTTGCAGTGAGCCAAGATCATGCCACTGCATTACAGTCTGGGTGACAGAGCAAGACTCTGTCTCTAAATACATACATACATACATACATACATACATACATACATACACACACACACCGTTGTCATCATATTCCCAGGCCTTGGGATTTGGAGATGAAAAAGCAGACCCCAATTCCTCTGGATCGTATCCAAGTTATGTTTCGTTTCATTATCATTTTGGTATAAAGAGAGAGTCTGGAGCTTTGAAGCCAGAGAGACTTGGGTATAGATCCAGGCTTGGATAAGTCATAACCTCTTTGAACCTATTTCTGGATATATAAAACTGGGGCGATATCTAATCTAAAAGGTTTACAGTAAGGAAAAGCTACTGTGTAAAAGTGCTAGTTATGTAACAGGTAGACAACAAATCTTAGTTACTATTTTTATCACAGTATGAAAACATAAGTCAATTTTCCTTATGGCTGGCAACTTTGGTGATGGCTTTCAAATTTTCACTTCAATCAGATTATTTGTACTGTGACAAATATATATTCCATTTCCGTAACTTAAGTGAAACAAAAGTTTCACAGAACACTCACTGTGCACATATGCTGATCTTTTCTACACTATTCCATTTCTATTTTGGGTTTTCAAATGCTAGTAATGAACCACTATTAACTCAGTTCACTATCCTGCTAAAGGATCATTAGCCTAAGTTTAAAAAATATACTGAACCCAGTAGGAAGCATTATCTAAGTGAAATATTCTACACATAAATATTAGCTCAATAATTCACCAACATGCTCTTGGTTGGTTAAATAGCATTTCTTCTATTATTCTATAAAACTAAGTGGTTCAAAATAAATGAGTTACTAGTGAAATACTTTAGCTTAACCTCCATCATGGCTGTACTTTCAACTTGGTTTTGGTAATTTGTCAATGCTTGTTTTTCAGAGGAGAAGCAGGAATAGAGAGAGAACAGAGGAAAAAAAGTTATTGAAATAGGTCACAGCCAACTGCAATGAACATTAAATATCTCAAAAAATATGTATCTTCTGAAAAATAAAAATTATTTACATAGGCTTTGTTGTTTTGCCTGAAATGCTTTCAGGATACTTTACATGTACAAAGTATCTGCATAGTTTGTATCATAGTTGATAGAAGAGGGGTAGGCAAAGGGTCTTTATGGTTTTCATTATCTTTTTAAACTTGTTTTAATCAGATTAAATGGTCTCCCAGAAAAATTAAAACTGCTAAAAAAAATATTCTACAAAATTAGCAGCAAATAACTTCACTAACAGCTGATTCCAAAAAGGTTGAGGCACACTTAGTTTTCTTCTAAACTTTTCTGGATGTTTTCTTGGAAATTACAGTTCCAGAAAACTAGAGCTATAATTTCCAGGAAAATATCAATTACAAAAAGGAAAAAAATTCTACTGCAGTAAACCCCAGAATGTCCTATGGAATTTTGTGTAATGAAACTTTACCTGTACCTTTAAGAAAAGAAGCAACCTCAAATGTCACAGATTTGACACAAAAATCAGATGTCCTATTACTGCTAAAGAATAGTGGGCAGGGGAAAAAACTCTAAGTCTTTCAAAATGATAAAACTGACCAAAAAACATCAAGGCCTTAGGAAGTAGAAAACCTCTTACTACCCAATTACCTTCCACAGCAGGGTAATAAGTTTTGAGAATCAAGGACAAGTAATAACTGATGGGTGAGAAGGAAGAATAAAACCTTTTTTAAGAGGCTTCGATTTGGGTCCTTTGACATCTTAAACTAGAATGTTTGGTTCATGCTGTTAGCTTAGTAACTGAATAAATTAAGCAAGCACCAGAGGTTAAAACACACAATGAAAAGGTGGCTGATTCTTAGCAAAAGGGATTGCACAGGGTTCTCGGGCTAGCTGGCATTGTTAATAATTTGGGTAGAAAATATTCTTATTTTGTGTGAGGTAATGACCGTTCACTACTAGGTTACAATACAACTTAGTAAGTGATTACAACTCAAAATGGCAACATAAATGAGATTAAATAACACTTTAAAAAATTAATCAAATTAGGCCGGGTGCAGTGGCTCACGCCTGTAATCCCAGCACTTTGGGAGGCCGAGGCGAATGGATCACGAGGTCAAGAGATCGAGACCATCCTGGTCAACATGGTGAAACCCTGTCTCTACTAAAAATACAAAAAATCAGCTGGGCATGGTGGCGCATGCCTGTAATCCCAGCTACTCAGGAGGCTGAGGCAGAATTGCCTGAACCCAGGAGGCAGAGGTTGCAGTGAGCTGAGATCGCACCAATGCTCTACAGCCTGAGTAACGAGCGAAACTCCGTCTCAAAAAAAAAATAATAATAATAATGATAATAATAATAATCAAATTATTATTAAACAAGGTTTAAATAATAATAAATTAGAATATTACAGAAGGTTGGGGGAGAGATACATAAGTATAAAAAAAATCTCTGCAGATAAAAGAAAAATGAGTTTGCGCAAATGGGAGAGGAAAAAGACATAAGTTTCACTGTACATCAAGGCAGCACTTAGGAGAATATAAACACATAAGAAAATAAGAAGACAATATATAAGCTCCTTTTACTTAGCACTGACCAGAATGTAATTTAATTGTTTTAGGTCCTACAATTTTAACATTTAGAATCATAAAAAAACTTTAAAAGGGTATTAAATCATCCTAATAATAATAAAAAGACAGTACTCCTACATAGTAAATAACTGCATGTGGCATTTAGTAACAACATTGTTAGTATGGCAACATATCCTAGAGATTTGGAGGCTGCCAGTAACCAAATCTATGTAAAATTTTAATGTAAAATCCACCTTCACTCAGCAAAGTTTCCAAAACTGATGAAATAGGTCTGGAGACACTATTTTCCTCCATACTCTCCAGAAAGGTGTCTTTGAGGGTTTCTTTGTAAAGAAGCAGTTACAACAATGTTAACATGACCAATGTATTCCTGAAAAACTAATTATAAATATTTTTTTAAATTATCAAATATTTTACTTAAAGAAACCCTTGGGGTATAACAAAGATGACACTATTCGGCTATCTGTAGTTTCGCATATACCTTTATAGTACAGCCCTGTTTTCAACAAAGGCAGTGAAGCAGTCTACCCAACTTCTTAAAGGCTTTTAAGAGATGATGACAGGTCTTTACCACTGTAATTAAAGACAACTTAATTTCATTGCCTAAAGTCAGTCAAAATTCATTCACTTTGTAAAGTAATGATCATTTCAGCTGAACACATACAGCAAGAGGAATAGCCAGTATAGATTTTCAATAATTCTAATTATGAATCATTCTAAGTCCATGTGTGTTTTAATTTTCTGAAACCAACTGCTGAAAGAAAACACTCATGTTAACCAACCTACATACTGATTATAGGCAAATACATTTAAATATGTCACTTTTAATTTGTATTTCAAAAGAAAGCATCTAACTCAATAAAATTTAGGTTATTTTAATACCTTTCAGGAAAATCTGTATAAAGCATATAACAGTGTGTATATTATTTTTGAAAATACTTCATTTTGAAAATACTTTACATATACTCCATCTTAACTGAGAATAAATTAAAACTATTATTTCGAGCCTTGATTTTATGACTTATAATTACAAAGTTATTTTTCATACTACCCTCCCAAAAAAAAACTAGAGAAACTACTAAATACAGCAATTCTCTCCCTTCACGTTCTATAATGTGGTTGTGACTTTCATAATTATTTAAAATTGAGGAAAAACACTTCTACAATTCAGTTTCTGTAGCACAAATTATTTTTTGGACAAGTATAAAGCAAGTCTAATTTTTCTTGAAGGTCAAAATAATGATTTTTATTTTTTATTTTTTGAGACGGAGTCTCGCTCTGTGGCCAGGTAGAGTGCAGTGGCACGATCTTGGCTCACTGCAATCTCTGCCTCCCAGGTTCAAGCAATTCTCCCACCTCAGCCTCCTGAATAGCTGGGACTACAGGTGTGTACCACCATGGCCAGCTAATTTTTGTATTTTTTGGTAGAGACAGGGTTTCACCATGTTGGCCAGGCTGATCTTGAACCCCTGGCCTCAAGTGATCCGCCCGCCTCGGCCTCCCAAAGTGCTGGGATTACAGGTGTGAGGCACACTGCCCCAGCCAAAATGATGTTCTTAATTGGAACAATTTGGCATTTTTTCATGATTGGGATGCCTGATTTAATTTCATCAGTTTTAAATGTATGGAGTTGGCAATGAGCTAATATTATTTCCAAATTCTATAGATTATTCTGAAACAGGTTGTATTTCTCCTCCAGTCACTTAAAAATCCAAACAACAGTAACAATACAACCTGACTACAGGAGTACCTTATTATAAACTTACAGTTCTTACAGTAGAAAGAATATGAAGATGTTGGCTCTAGCCACTGTTGCATTACTAACTTTCTATCTGTGATACCTGGAATAAATATATTTTAAGGTCTCAGATTTTTCCCACAATGAAATGAGAGATGATTACTATAAAATTCTACCTTTTGGAGTCTAAAATTCTCTAGTTCTACTTCACATTAAAATTAATATAAAACTAATTGATCTGATTGTCAAAGTATTTGAAAACACAGATAATTGTTTTAAAGTACAAAAAAAATTTATGACCCAAAGAACCGTGCTAAGAAAATGTAAGGCATGCAAATTCAGATCTACAATACAGATAAATAAGGAGAAAACAAAAACAGTCAATTTGAAAGAGATTCTTCAATTTTAAAACAATTTACTAAGAAGTTTTACATAATGAAATGTGGTCAAAATTTCAACTTACATTTAACTTTTTAGAAACAAAAACAAAGGTGATTCTCAAATATCTGGATTGAATAATTCTATGTCAAAATCAGGTAGTACCTAGTCTTAAAATAAAAAACTTCATCACAAAAAAAGCCCTGCTTTTCCCTTAGCTAATTTAATATACACAGCTAATTTAATACACAACAGATTTTAAAGGAACAGCCTTAAAAATCATTGGGTTTATGATAAACTTGTACAGACCACTTATACAGTCACTAACAACCACTGTATCAAATATTAAGTAATGAAAAACAAAAACATACCAGTACTAAAGAGTCGAATCATACACTCATGAAGCCAGGGATGACTAGAATCAATAGCAAATGCCCTCTTTACTGATTGTAGCATCAAAAGAAACTTTTCTATAAAAAGAGAAAGATATATTTTGATCATGTGATAAGAGGCCTCCTCTGGAGGGCCAAGACCTCACAAATAGAAGAAGTAAATTTAGAGTCAATCACATCAGAACCACAAACATATGATTGAGGCAAACCATTTTCCTCAAGCTTAGCAACATTAGTTAATATTTTTCATATAACATACTTTAAGAAAAAAGGTTTATGAAATGTAGAAAGTTTAGGTGGCATTCAGCAATATTTAAACTAATTATATGTAAGCCAAGAAAATTTGAAGTGCTTTCATTTCCTAACCTTCTTTATTTCAAAATAAAGAAACCTTTCCCCCTACTTAGAAAATTTCATTGTATATGTTTGAAGGTATTCTTTTAATTTGTGACATGTGAAACAGCTTCCCTTCTGTTTGACTGTTCCTTTCCTGTTAATCGGTGACTACTCCTTTCCCCTCTAAAAGTAGAATAGTTACCAAGGTTATCTTTTCAGTCATTCTCTGATCTGTCCCCACTCCCATTCCCTGTATTTCCCAAGATTCGGTAGTATCTCCACTGTTAAATGGAAATTTGCACTTGAAAACTCAGTCTACTTCCAAGTTTTCTCTATAACCACCTCTTAGATAAGACTTTCCTAGTTTGGTACCATTTTCCCAATATCAAAGTTCAAAACCCAAGTCTCTTCTAATTCCCTTCCCTCGTCCCCAATCCTAAAAAAGCCAAACACACTGCCATGCCTTTGTCATTCCCAATTTCACACAACTGCAGTGGATTCCAAATGCTGGGGTTCTTTAGAGGTTAGAACACAGCAAAGAAGCCAACTGAATGGGGTAGATTGCCCTTCGCCACTTTAAGCAGAGCAGCTTTTGTATTTTATACTTCAGGGTTCCATTTAAGAATTTTTTAAAAAGGGGGCGTTGTATTAACTGTTAAAAGTTCGAAAATTACTGGACTATTAAACTTATTTTCCACATTATAATAATTGTGGGAAGAAGAAAATACAATAAGTATTTTAATCACTCAAAATTCTATCAATACAATCTATTATCTTTTGATCTATTTCTTCCCAGCCACTTCTATATTGTATACCTATGTAAATATATTAATAAAATTTCAATTTATAGGCAGTTCTGTATCCTACTTTGGAATAATATAACATAGCAACTTTTCCCCAACATCAATTACTTTTGATAAACATGACTTTCTTTTTTTTTTTTTTTTTTTTTTTTTTTTTNTTTTTTGAGACAGAGTTTTCTTCTTGTTGCCCAAGGTGGAGTACAATGGCATGATCTCGACTCACTGCATCCTTCACCTCTCAGGTTCAAGCGATTCTCCTGCCTCAGCCTCCGGAGTAGCTGAGATTACAGGCATACACCACCACACTGGCTAACTTTTTGTATTTTTAGTAGAGACACGGTTTCTTCATGTTGGTCAGGATACCCTCCAACTCCTGACCTCAGGTGATCCCCCACCTTGGCATCCCAAAGTGCTGGGATTACAGGTGTGAGCCACTGCGCCCAGCCAAACATGACTTTTTAAATGGATACTCATATAGAGAAGTACCATGTTATTCAAATGTTCTTTGGTAGGTACACGGTTTAGAGCAACAACCTTCTCTTTAATCTTACTAAACAGTTTCTCTTCCCTTTAATATGCATCACCTTTGTGACAAACTTTTTTCAATGAACCATTTGGATAATATTAACTCAGTACTCTACAATCTTATTATTTACTCTCTCTCTCTCTCTCAAAAATATATGTATTATAAGCATTCTAAACCTGAAAACCAAGACACTTTTCATTCATCTTTTACCTGCTCCAAGCAGTTCAGACAACTTCAATATTATTTACATACTCCTATGTTTTAATAGATACTTTTCCCTTCTATGTATCTTTTCCTTTAGAAATATAATCTATCCTTCAAGATCCAGCTCCAAAATTTTATCTTCTATTTATTAAAATCGCTAATAATAGCCAACATTTATTTAATGCTTACTGTATACCGGGTACTAGTCTAAGCTCTGTGTATTAACTAATTTTATCCACATGATCATCAGTTCTTTGAACCATATACATGGTAATTATATCTGACCTGAATTCTAGCTATGTATATACACATATATTGATTCTAGTATCCTAAAAGAAGTAATTGTATCATTATATCTATGTACATTCTGTTCATAGCAGGCACGTCTGTGAGAAAGCTGCATTGGCATTTGCTAAATAATCATACAATGGTGAAGCCATCAGTGTTGGGTGACTGTACCTAAGAAATAGAGTGATCAGTTTTATCAGGGCCACTATACCCTAATTGCCTACCTTTCCTAAAGTAAATCTCAAAGGCAAAAAGATGAGTCTCTATCTTGTTCTTCACCAAGTTCTTCAACGGTGTTAAAAATTTAATAGCTTCTTCCAATGGAGTTTCAACCTAACAAAAATAAAAGACATTACACAAATGGATGTCAGGTTCTTGGGGAATGTGATTTTATTCCACTAAAAATTCTTATTTTTAAAAAATAAAATCACTTACCAGTCACCCAGAAAAACACTGTCATATTTTAACCTCCCATAACCTAAACAAAGGGGATTTTGAATTCTAGAATTCTTCACTGATTTTTAACCCTAGATATTATATTATTGCTGGATAGGAACTATCCAAAAAGAAAGAAGTAGATAAAATAGAACTAGGAAAAGACAGTTAAAGAAACAGGTCAGATAGCCAAGGGGGAAAAAAAGAGATGTGAACAGGGATAAGGAGAAGTACAAAGGAAACTATAGAGACCATGACAGAATGAGTGACTGTTCTTATAATTCAAACAAAGTGAAGTATAATCAAGCTATTCAAAACAGTACACTGTCCATTCTGTCTTGCTTTGTTCTATAAATTGTATAGAAATTCATACTTATTTAAATGACATATTAACAGTAAGGTGGCATTTTAAAATATTAATATTTATAGAACAGTGTTCCTACAACTTTTTATTAATTACATAAATGTCATAGTAATTACATACTTGTAATCATTACTAGGCATGCATAATGCTATTGTGCTACTATTCTACTCCTGAACTGAATATTGAGACAATACTATTCCCTGTCTTATCTAAGGTGGGGCTGGAGAACACCACCATATTTATCAGAAGGGCACTGGACATCTGGATTCTGTATTTGCCTTCTCTCATTACAGAGGCAAGAACAATTTACCCTAATGGAAAATGGATTTGCCATATCTGTTCAACATGCCTCTGTCAGTACAGTAATTGTGGTTTCACCAAAACAGCTTCTGGCCAAGAAAAGTGTTTCACTGCATTGAAAAAAAGAAAAATAAAAAAAAAAGCAATGGAGTGAATTCTATGGGATATACCATATCCTAGTGTATAAAGCAGTTGGCCTTACAGGACAATGAACACGATACAGTTCAAGTGCCGGAATGTTTTCTTCTGAAGGATACAAGTTATAAACCAGAACCAGAAATCTCTAATAAATGTGGATTCAGGAAACAAGAGACAGAGGAGAAAATAAAGGCCCTCATAGGTATGACTTCTCCACACATTTGTACGTATTTTACTTCTTGCTCCCATGACTCCATATTCTACTAGATTGGAATTTGTGGTACAAGAGGGGAAATATTTGTATCAGAAACTGAGCCTGCCACCTAGTTGTATCAAGCCTTTCATGCCTCTAGGGTACAGACTGAAATGAGGGTCAGTGTATTGACCAGGGTAATTCACTATCAGAGAGATATGGCTGCTATTACAGAGGGCAATAAGGACTATAGGACAGGTGAATCAATACATTGGATTTAGTTAAATCAAGTACTTGAATTTGGAGAGAAGAGACAGAGAAATTAATTCTGTCTCAAACTTTAATAAACAAGAATATACTGCCCCAAAGGAGACCTCAGTTTGATGTTCTCATATGTAGTCTCAGTTTCTGCTTGCCTCTCAGAGTAAATCTAAATGTTTAAATATACATAGATAGCCACAATAAATCTAACTACACTATATATTTATTCATACATAGTCCAGAACAAGGTTTTATATATACATGAAAGCATGTAATCAGAAACATGAGTCTAAAATCAGTGTTTCAGGAAAAAAAAGTCAAAATATCCCTTGACAATCCTTTAAGCTGAAGACAAACAGATATAAAAATATACTTTGTATTATGCGTATGAAAACCATGTTTTCAATATCAAAGTAACAATCATCATTGCAAGATGTTTATACCAAGACAGGCACACAAGAACTGAAATGGACTATGGCGGTCATGCCTCCCAACTGATACTCAGTTGGGGTCCTGTGTTCACTGTGGGAAATATTAGATATAATTAACCACCATTGCCGGGCGCTGTGGCTCAAGCCTGTAATCCCAGCACTGTGGGAGGCCGAGGCGGGTGGATCACGAGGTCAAGAGATCGAGACCATCCTGGTCAACATGGTGAAACCCCGTCTCTACTAAAAATACAAA